TCTTTACATTTTTTTTAGACAGCAATGGGCACAAAAAGCAACCTTATTTTTTGTTCGTAGTGCAGTTAAAGAGTATTTAGATACAGACTTCTTATTATCTGCCAAAACATGCAGTTGTTGCAAAAATAGACATGTACCTTTTTTTATTCATTAACAGTGGTGAGTCATTGGTTATAACTATTCAACTAGCCAATGACTTATTTAATTTAAATATTTGTTAACCTCAAATCTTTAGGGTTTTGAAAAGATGCAAAAATTGGTTTTGCAATTTTACAAGGGATAGTAATCGTTTTAAAGAATTTTGAAATGAACCCTGCGTATGTATTGCGCCAATCTTCCCCGTCTTTCCGTCATCAAATCCTATTTCAAGTAGTTCTCTTACTACTGTTTTAAGTAGTTTAGATAATTCATCACTTGAGCACATAAGTAATTTATCACAACTAAATAACAAGCCTTTATTGTCTGAACATTCTGTTAACAATGTACAGAATTGGCATGAATCAAGAGGAGAAATGAGCCCTAGAAAAAAAAGGTTTGAATGCCAGGTTGTTTTATTTAACTTCTCAGCTTGCTGTCACATCCAGCATGCATTGAAAAAAAATAGCAATAGTGAGGGCAAAATTGAAAAGCATGCCATACAAGTTGAAAGTGCTGAGACAAAGCATTACATGAAAGAAACAAATTATTAAAGTTTTGAGAGCTGAAATTATAGATCTTAAACAAAAGTTGCAAACATATTATTACAGTAAGATAATATGCAATCTTAAAGCTAATAAAAAAGGGAATGAAGATTTCAGAACTTTAAAAACTAAAATAAGTTAAAGTTGAACATAAAAAAAGATATTAAGGCGAGTTTCCACTCATCCGTTTTTCTACGGAAAAGATAAAAATAATCACGTGAGCATGCGTAATAAAGGTTTTTATTTGTCCGAAAGGAAACTGCGCATGCTCGCGTGATTATTTTTCCGTTCCCTTTCCCGTTGAAAAACGGATGAGTGGAAACTCACATTTAAGGCAAATAAAATGCTGATAGCTAGTTACGAAAATGATATAATCCAGATAGAGGAGGATAACATTACCGTTGTGAATGGCTCAGTAAAGGGTAAGATTTATTCATTACAAACCCAAGTGATAATTTATGGCATGTTATTGGCAAATGTACCAAAATGTAACAAACTATTTCTAATGGAGAAAATTATGCAGTATTTGGGTGTCATTTTTAATGATTTTCCCCATTGTTTTATGATTGAACAAATGGCTCGTGAGCTTGGCAGTATAGCAGAACTGCAAGCATCAAAATGCGTTATCATTAATTCACATATTACTCTTGGATTTAATGCAACAACCCAAGAAGGTGTACATATTAATAGCATTCACTTAACATCAAAGAATAAATGCCAAGTCATTGTTCTAGATTAATTAGCTAGAGGTACAGCTGATGATTACGAAAGTCATATCAGGGTGGCCACTGTTCATGGAAATCATGAAAATGTCATGGAATTTTATTTGGTCATGGAAAAAGTCATGGAATTCTTAAATTTCCATTGAAAGTCATGGGAACTTCAGCTCAGGCTTAACTTCACGTGACGTCTATTGTTACATATGATTTTTATAGTGTTCGATTTATAAAATTGATTATTTTAATTATTTACTAAAAGCCAAGACAACTATTTAAACTTAGGGTATCTAAAATGTTTTAGTTCAGAACAATATAAAATTGTTTGTTACATTTTTTTATAGGATACAACACTGATATTTTTGGTAATGAAATAAAACATATTTAATGAAATATCAAAAAATGAATTATACTAATTTATTTTGTTTGTTAAAGATACAATTATTTTTAAGAATTCAACATCTTTTTATTTTAGGATGTGGGTTACCATTACCACCATATTCAACAAACTTCTCAAGTTAACCAAAATTTACGAATAGCAGTGAAAAGACTTTTTTTTTCAAAAGTAGGCTTGGTTGTGGTCTTTAACTTTTTTTTTTTGAAATTAAGGTGTGTTTAATCATCACCACCATATCTATCACCAAATTTAATATACACCAATCATTGATGTTGGTCTGGAATAAATTTATAGCAACTTTATAAACTGTATAAAAAAAATTACCGTTTGCTGGAAAAAAACACTCTTTATTGAAAGAAATATGCTTATTTTTAAGATGAAGGTAGTGGTTCGGCACCCATTCTAGCCCCCAGAAAATGTAGACAATATTATAAATTTGTAGCCCACTGTTACACCTATCTTTTGATACCAAGTTATAGTTATTTAAATAAGAATTGACAAAGTTATAACAATTTAAGTGAAGAAAAATTAAATTTTGACCACAGTTTCTTAAACAAATCCATATATCAAAACTTTGCGACTAAAAACGTCATAACTTTTTAGAGAATAGTTCAATTTTAACAATTTTTTCACCTTTAAAATACTGTATTAAAGCCCTTTCCAATGTTAAGTAACAATCTAGCCTTTGATCAATTTAAAATTTTTAATTCACATACCTAATATATATATATATATATATATATATATATATATATATATATATATATATATATATATATATATATATATATATATATATATATATATATATATATATATATATATATATATATATATATATATATATATATATATTATATAATAAGTTATTTAATTATCTTCACTTTTTTTCCAGATGTTTGTAAAGTGTTTTATTGTGTTGTGCCAATTGATCAAAAATCAATACTAATGTTGATTGATTTTTTGTTCATTGACACAAAAACTTGAAATTTGGTATAAAAATTTTGTTCTTTGACATTCTGGGAAAGAAAATATTTTTTCAATGATTGGATTTTACTATTCATGACTAATAAGAAATTTGTGTTAACAGTGAGTAAATTTTTTAAGTTATCTTTACTTTTTATTATGCGTATAAGCAAATGCAATATAATGTATTCAAGTTTGATGTTTTTAAATATTTAACTATTATGAATATTAAATGTTAGCTTTTTTCACTAGCTTCAAAATTCTGAAATTACTTTACTGTTTATGATATCAGAATCATTTAAGACAGGATATGCTGTGAGATTTTTATTATACTGCCAATTAAAAATATATTTTGAAAATTGTTTTTTCAAATCTTTGTAAGTTTTTTGTTGGTTTAAAAAATTCTGAAAATGACAAATTAATTAGTATTTATAAATTAATATAACTAATATTTTGCTTAATATTTTTGTAGTTTATCTAGGATATTTATTTCTTAAATTGCTGTTCTATATAGTCAAGTCTAACAAAATCAAAAACCTAATTGATATATTTTATTGGAAATTCTTGTATAAACACATAAATATTTCTTTATTTCTAGATGTTTCAAAGGGTCAAAAATCATTTAAACTTTAATAATTTTTAATCCATTGACACAACTAAATAGATATATATCGATGGCATAATGCACAGAAGTGTTAAGTACAACATTTTGTCAAATTGAGCTAAGTACACAAAAACTGTTGTATTTTTTAAAGATTATTCTGTCCAAATATGGTCAGTGTACGATAAATTGTTACAAGTCTACTAATTGACATTACGTGTCAAGTACAAAAACGAAAAAAAAAATTGTATGCACAAATGTTTAAAGTGTCCTTGCCACATTCACATTTTTAGTTTAGCACTTAACACTTCTGTGCATAATACCATCGATATATATATATATATATATATATATATATATATATATATATATATATATATATATATATATATATATATATATATATATAGACATATATATATATATATATATATATATATATATATATATATATATATATATATATATATATATATATATATATATATATATATATATATATATATATATATATATATATATATATATATATATATGTATATATATATATATATATATAGACATATATATTTTTTTCGTCTTTAATTTTCATAGTTATTTTAAAGTCATTTTTTAGGCTGAAGAAAATTTATTTCATAGACTTTTGAACTTTTTTAGTAATATTAGACAACGTCTTATTCACATGTAGTTTTGCATAATTTTGAATAAATCTTTTTTTTTTTTAAATGCCAAGCTTGCAAGAACAAATATTAATAAAGTAAATTGTAATCAATTTACTAAAATAGTTGTTTAAGATTAATGTAAAAGTAACAAAAAAAGGAGGGGATCGATACTTTCGCTATGAGATGTTTTTGTTTACTGCGCACCTTCCAAAGAATGAGAACGAGTAATTTCTGGAACAAAAACATAAACAAAGCGCTATTGTTTGCTTCCAGACTATATATTTCTTATGACTATGTGTGAGGTGCAACTTGTAGATGAGCAATCGTCTAAAAATCATTTTATAAAATTGTTTTTATTTAAAATTATCCATTGTATCTTCTTAATTGAAAAAAGCATTCTCTTAACAACTGAGATTGAGTTTGTTTATGTGCATTTATCTCCTATAAAGATGGCGTCGAAATCTCATATGCCGAAACCACCCCTTATGAAAGTCCCTAATCGCTTAACTACGTACATACGTTTTATTATATCAAAAACTTTATTTAAACAATCAATTTCTGACATAATTTTGTTTTCGTGGTTTATTACGCGATTTGTCCGCGTGATTTATGACGTAATTTCATACGTTACAATTATGTTGTTTTTTTTTTTAATCATTTAAAAGTTATATCTTTTTACGTTAAAATCACGAGCTTTAAATATTTTAACTTGCTCTATTAGATTTATTAATTTTATCTACCTTTTTTGTTACTTTATTTAAAATTCATTCTATTTAACATGTTTAGCTTTAAACTTAATAAAAATATGGAGTTTTTTTATAATGCTTTAAACGTTTCATACAGAAACTTTATTTTAAAATTTCGTTCTAAATATAGAAATTTCAATTTAAAACTGTCTTCACCACATAATATTAATCTGAAAAACTGCGTGGTTATTATTAAGATAAAATTATAAAGAAATCTAGTAAAACCACGATAGCGTTATCAAAAGCTCAGCTCTATATCTTATAATTGTGTTTTAAAATAAATTATCTACTTTTTGAAAGATAAAATAAAAAATGGAAAAAACTTTATTTATGTTATTAATAATGGTATTTAGTGAATTTTCCACTAAAACAATAAAAAATTGTCATCAAAATTGTGGTTATCGTTTTTGGCATACAGCTGGGACGTGTTTACCTTCGGGACAGTGTAGATGTCGGTGGGGATGGACTGGCCCAAATGCAAAGTATATAGATGGTGGTAAGTACAACAATCAAATACTTGCTGATTACTGTACCATACCATGTCATTTTACTTTCGATTTTCGAAATCCTCGTTGTATTATAACAACCACACAAACTTTTGCTACTGAACAACATATAATATCTACTGCAAATAAGAAATCTAAAAACGAAACTTTTTTGACTAATGTTTTGCAGACTGATTTCCCAATAACTGCAATTAACTCTAACTCAAGTAATAATAACTCAAAATATCCCTCTAAACAGAAAGCTCATCCATCGAATACGTTATCTGCAAAAAAAAAAAGTAGCAATACCACGTTTACTAAACCTGGTCAATCTACAGCAATTAAAGATGCTATTTCTGAGCCAGCAGAGCAAATAGCTGGAAAAGAAATTACACAACATAATACAGAAGCATTTGAGACAATTAAATCTACACCTACTGAAGAGTTAACATTAAATAACGATTCTACATTAGTTGTTATTTCTGATTCGGTAGAGAAATTAACTAATAACAAATTGACACGGTATAGTGCAGAATTACCGGTTAAGTCTAAGGAATTTGTATTTAAGACAAAATCAACATTAAATAGTAATTCTAAATTAACGCCTTCTGAGTTAGATGCTTCAACTATCCCTAAATCAGAGTTGAAACTTTTTCCTGAATTAGAATTGTCAACTGAAACCAAACGTTATAGTACAGAACCAGCCATTTTAACAATTGAACCTTTAACAAATAAAGATTTATTTAGAAGTTTTTCAAAAGCAACAGTTTCTGAAACAACAGAGGTATCAACTAAAAGCGAAAGCACCAAGTTAAGTAAAGAAAAACCAACAATAAATTCAATAGAGGTCATTTATTTGAACTTCTCGCTGTCATCTATAGCAAGTGACAACCTTACTATGTATGATAGTTTGTGTTGTTTTTATAACCCATAATTATATACTTAATAGTGTAATGGCGTAATGGCGTAGCTATTCATCTTTTATATTTCTTTATCCTGCAAAAAAAAAACTTTTATATTAAAACCTTTGAAATAAATCTTGACTAAAATATTTCGTGTCGTTAATTCGTTTGCTTTTTTTATAACAGTAAAAAATTTTTTAGATTGTTTTTTAACTGATAGATGACCATGGATCTTTTTATATAGTTATTAACCCAGCCGCCATTTGGTCCTAAAAAAATTTCTTTTGAATGTTTAAAAAATGTTCTGAACGTCTTTTGAACGTTCAAAAGTCGTCTTTTCAGGACCAAATCCGGCTGGGAAGATGCTCTAAAAATCAATTTAGCTCATCAAGTCATTTTAGCTTATAAATTTTAAAATAAAAAATAGTCACAAATAAGTAAAGAGTATATAGTATTCGAAAAATTTATGTTAAAACCTTTGAAATAAAGAAATTAAATTATTGTGAAAATTTATTTCGTTGAATTAAAATTTTTTAATTTAAGTTTTAAACTTGAAAGTTTGAATTTTAATCCAATAATTGTTAAGGTGCTGTCGATTAATTACGTCTTCAGAATAGGGAAAGTAGGGGAGTCTGATTTTTTTCACAATTTTTGACAAAAAAGAGGATGCTCAAAACAAGTTGACGTCAACAATCTTTCTTTTTTAAACAAATTTAACTACTTAAAAAAAAAAAATTAGGCCGCGTTTGCATCCTGTGTTACATACTCGTTTTCAGTATTTTAATAAAGCTGTTTATATTCCTACTTTTAAAAACCGTATTGTGCTTTAAAAACAGCCGACACATACAGAACTAAATAAACACACAAGATGTTTACTCGTAAGACTAATATGTTATCAAGTTGTTGTTGTTTAGTCTGTTGCGTAAACAAAAAAGATTCATGTAAGTACATAGTCTACATTGTATTATTTAAACGTTATACCAGAGTTATAAACTGCGGCTCGCAAGCCTCATGTAGTTTTTTTCGATGCTAAGATGCAGCTTTTTAGCTCCATGCACAAATATTATATAACATTGAAATAAACTTTGAAGATTTCCGACCCCTGGTTTATACAGTTTGTTAAATGCAATTTTTTTTTGTTAGACTATTGGAAATGATTGGTTTTCACGTGAAATTTGATTAGGTTTAATGCTAAAGTGAGGAGGATTGGCATATTGAAGTGTTTTTTTTATATAATAAATACAAAATACGTTCATAAATTAAATGTGTCAGGTGTATATATTTTTGTGAGCTCTTTAACCTTTTTTTGATCATATTAATTCTTTGTAGTTATAAACTGGAAATATGTTCAAGTTAAAAGTTTATTAATTTTTTTTCTATATCTATTTTTTTATTTACTTTTTGTTCATTCAATTTAATGTTATATATGTATAATAATTATAATAATAATAATAATAATAAATGTTTATGCAATTTAAATGGTTACATTCATTTGAAATATGTTCATTGAATAAATTTTTTTTTCTAAGCATTTTACTTTTATTCACACATTTTTTTTAGTTGTAAACTAAAAAATATTGTTTAAAATATTAATTCGTTTTTTCCATTTTAATTTGATTTTCAAAGGGGAAGGGAGAGGGAAGTTGAATGCCGATGTAATTTTATAGTAAGGGTCTCAAGAAGTTTGACAAGTTGTTGATAAGGGGGAGGGGAAGTAAAAATTGCCAAAAATAAAATTGTGGACGTAATTAACTGACAGCTCCTAAACCGTTTTTAAAAGCTTTTTTAAAGAAAATACAGTGATAGTTAGTGTCAAATGCTTTAGATAAATCGATAAACACATTAAGGGTAAGTTTTCTTTTTCAAAACTGTCAGTTATTAGTTCCTAACCAAAGTAACCAGCAGTTAATTGGTCGGTTCAAATATTGTATATATAGCTGAAGGATATTCTTAAATTCCAAATTAATCGTATAAAAAATTGTGTTTTGTAAAAGAAATAATAAATTTCATTATAAAATAAACGTTCGACAACTTTCTAACATTTACAAGTAATATAGATACACAGAAAGTGCCGGACCATTAGTTGGATACGAAGGTGCGTTTATTATTTCTATAAACTGGGAACATTTTACGAGCGTACATTAAATTCCACAAACCACTGCAAGCCCCAATCTGTAACTGAAATGAGATTAGAATCAAGATTGGCTGCCGGTTCTAAGCAATCGACAAAGAGAGAAAACTTTTTGTCAGGATTGGAGTATAAGGTTGAGACATCAGTAAATAGAGCCACTTTAGATGAAAGGTTGTCAGGAAGATCATATTAATTTAGATAAGAAATAAAACAGGACCAACGATGGAACCTTGAAGTACCCCAGAAGTTACTGGAAATAAAAAAGAGTGTCGGCCTTCGAGGATGACTTTAATAAAACGTTTAGAAAGAAATGATTTCATAATCTAAAACTTTCCTAGATATACCATGAGAAGCAAGCTTATAAAGAACACGAGCATGTCAAACTTTGTTGAAAACTTTAAACATCTCATTAGCAATAGCCCTGGTCTCTCCACCTCCATCTAATGCACTATAAAATATTTCAGTCACACCAGTTAGCAAGCAGCCGTAGAGCAAGAGGATTGTCTGACAGTTAGTTATTATACTTAAGTATAATAACTTATCGATTGTCTGACAGTAAGTTATTTAACTAAAGATGGAAGGTTTAAAACTTATTGAACAAAAACTCAAACACCTTGCCAATAACTGATAGAAGGCTGATTGGATGATAGTTAGAGTAGTCAGAATTTTTATCAAATTTTCTAAAAATTAGAACTACAGATGCCAATTTCCACCACGGATGAAAGCAAGATTCAATCAAGCACTTATTAAATAGTTTAGAGGGAATTATAGAGAGTTTGGGAAAAAACTTTTGTAAGACAATGACATGAACTTTGTCTGAACCACAATCCGTAGAAGAGTTTAATTGAGATATGACATTTGTAACGGAAGCTGGAGTAATTTAAATGTCTAACAATAGGTTAACTTGTTTAATTGGAACGGAAGGAAGAGTATACATATTGCAATTTAAGGATAAACCAACATCGCGCCAGAGGTTGTAAAATTATATTTTTAATAGGTAATAATTTGCATTTTTAATCAAACTATTATCTATTTTTTATCAAAACTGCATTTTTTTCAATAACATAAATAAAAGGAAATTCTAATCGTCTCAGTTCGCTCGAATATATTCAAATGCAGTCGTTGAGTGAGTAAGTTGTTGTTAAGTCGTTGAGTGGTAATTATTAAATGAAAATTTAAATAAAAAAATTTATGGATGTTTTTATCGCATAACAAATTGAACCTTGGCGGAATGTTTGACACTGCTGGACGTAAGACCTCTTCAACATTTTTTAGTAATGAACAATATTGGGATTTAATATGTGTTAAAGCTGAGAAAGTAACTTCCCATAAATATGTGGTTTTAAATGGCAGAAGAACATTTAACACCATATCAGCGATTGTGGGAAATTCAGTTCTAGTTCCGATATAGAATTCAGTCAAGGGCTTTTTTAGAAAATGTAGTTTTATATTTGAGTTTCAAAAGTTCTACTCAAGTATTAAGTGGAAGGTAATCAATCTCACTCAAGCCAATTCAAAACGGCTTTTGAATCCAAGCTATCCTTTTGAAACCAATATTTAATATAAAATATGGAGCTATGTTGCTAGCGCTTTTAAATAATCAATTATAATTTTTGCGATAAAAGTTTTACAATAATTTTTCTCGATTATAAAAATGTTGACAATTGTGGAAAACATTTTGAACGAATTCAATTCCACCTAGTTTTTCAAATTTTGATCTTTTTAACAAAGCTTTCAATTTGATCATTTGAAGTAAATATATCGCAATTTTTTCTTTGAAGAGAATAGTTGAGATCGTTTAATTTCTCAAATGTATCTAACAAATAATACAGCATGGATAGCCATAAGTCATTTTGAAAAAAAGTAGCAAGGTCACATTTTCGTTCGGTTAAAAATATTTCGATTTCATTCTTTAATAACAATAATCTTTTTAAAATTTAACCTCTTGACACAATAATCTTTTTAAAATTTAACCTCTTATCTTTCTTGTGGAAGTAAATAATAAAGTTGTGTACTTGAAATCCGTATCCTTACAGAGATTTTAAAATAGGCGACAGTTAAGAACATGAAGCATACTGAAGCACATCGTTGAATTCTGGTGCTAACTTTTTTTGCTGCAAGAGCATCTCGGTGAATAAGGCAATGAGTAAAATTTATATGATCATAATGAGCAACTTGAAAATATTTAAAACCAATATTTTTGCCCGTCATCGCTCTTGCATTATCTGTGCATAATCAACAGGAATTTTTCCATTCTGAACTTTCAAAAATTTGTCGGCTTTACAATATATACCTTTCTCTGTAGTATGGTCTTTCATAAGGCGACAAAATAACAATTCTTCCTCCACATTTTCTTTATAAACGTACCTGACATATGCTAACAACTCCATTTAGTAATACCCGTTGTTTCGTTCAACTGAATTGAAAATTTTGGGTTTTCTTCAATTCTTGTAATAAGTTTTGCTAATTGGTTTTTGTTAATAGCAAAAATTCTATTCGCAATAGTTTCGTTTGACAAAGGAATTTTTCGAATAGCGTCGCCATATTTACTTCTGTGTACTATTTCTACTATTTTAATAGCAGCAGGTAATACAAGATCTTAGGGTTGAAAATTTTCCGGAAATTTTCAACTTGAGAAAATTTTCGGAAATTTTCGGAAATTTTCAAAAAAAGATTTTTTTTGAAAATTTGTAAAAGTTACTTTTTAATTAATGGATAAAATTTTATATCTTTTTTAGGCAGTTGTTATGGACAAATTTGTGGTAAAATAATGTAGAGTAGATAATAAAAATTAAAAAAAAAAAAAAAATACGTTGAAAAAAATTTAAAAAGTACTTTTTTTCGTATTTTGTTGAGTTTTTTTTAATTGTAACTTTAAGTAGCAATCATGATAATTTGTTTTCAAAATTTTCAAAAACTGTTTTAACCCTGTTATTTGCTAAACATTTTGATGTTTATTGCAGTAATAAGCTTTATTTAAGGCTGAACATATTTTCCACTCCCAT